CAGTACTCAGGTTTCTTTACAGTCCCACTCTCACATCCATATATGACTACTGGAAAAAACATAGCCCTGACTAGATGGACCTTTGTTGGCAAAGTAATGTTCCTGCTTTTTAATGTGCTGTCTAGTTTGGTTATAACTTTTCTTCTGAAAAGCAGGTGTCTTTTAATTTCCTGGCTGAAGTCTCCATCAGCAGTGATTTTGGAGCCCTCCAAAATAAAGTCTGCCACTGTTTCCACTGTTTCCCCATCTATCTGCCATGAAGTGATGGGACTGGATGCCATGATTTTAGTTTTTTGAATGTTGAGCTTTAAACCAGCTTTTTCATTCTCCTCTTTCACTTTCAACAAGAGGCTCTTTAGTTCTTCTTCACTTTCTGCCATAAAGGTGGTGTCATCTGCATATCTGAGGTTATTGATATTTCTCCAAACAATCTTGATTCCAGCTTGTGCTTCATCCAGCCCAGTGTTTCTCATGATGTACTCTACATATAAGTTAGATGAGCAGGGTGACCATATACAGCCTTGATGTACTTCTTTCCCTATTTGGGACCAGTCTATTGTTCCACGTCCAGTTTTAACTGTTGATTCCTGACCTGCATACAGATTTCTCAAGAGGCAGGTCAGGTAGTTTGCTCTTCCTATCTCTGGGTAGAAGTTCTCTCTCTCTCTCACTCTTTTTTTTTTTCCCCTCATCATAGATGACATCATAGCATTGGATTGCATTCTGTAACCTTTATATACCATTCTACATTCAGGTCCTGTACCTCAAAAACTAAGTTTCTCTTCAAATAAAAAAAATCCCCTTGCCATTTACTGCATCATGAATCTCTTCAGTTCTTCAGTTCCTTCTTCCTTTTGTCTCTCTTTGGCCTCTCTCTGGGCCTCCAATCCCATTAGGTATTCACTAATAAACTTGTGTTGCAAAGCATGGAGTTCAATTAAGTAATCTTGCAGATATAGCTCCAGCTTGTCACAAAAGTACAACAAATTGCAGAGGATGCACAACTGTGACAATGTATGCCAGACTCATGAACCAGCCTACATGACAGACATATAAATGACTGGTTGCATCTTTGAAATTTGCAATTTGATGGTTGTTATGTAGGGGACTTACTATACAAAAAAGGCTAATAACCTAAATAAATAGGTATTTGAAACAATTTCATTTCCTATCTTCATTAATAAAGTTTATAGTTGAAGAAATTCCAGTTTTTTTTAGTAAGTGATAACACTGTACTCTGATAAATTCATTGGTTATCTCCTTCTATAAAATATTCAGTTTTGTAACTTTCATAACTATTTTCTGGTTTATTTTAAAACATAAATGTGCTTTATTAAAGGCTCTACATATATGCCCCTTAAACTACTCATTTAAGAGAGTGGCAATGACTTTTGTTGTTTGCACTGTGTTCTACACATGTAGAACATTTCTCTGCTTCTTGAAGATACTCCATGTCTACACATTGCAATGCTGTTTCACTTTTCATTACAGCTAATTCAGTTAATTATCTGGAGATGTAGTGTGGCTTAGTTCTGCCCCTAAAAGTTCCCAAAGCCTGATCCATTCCAAGTATCTCCACTAGTATTGAGTGCTGTGTCACACACTTTGTTTGATCTTCTATGTGGTCATTGCTGGTTACACTGCATCTTCCATTCTTGATTATCATCTGCACCTACAAGTCTAGGGCCTAGAGGAATTGACAATATCTAAATTCTCTACCCCTTTAGACTGAGGAATTCAATAATAAGGTCTTTGTCCTTTCAGGCTTGTCACGTGACTTCTATCCTGTGACTCACTGCACAAAAGAGAGTCAGAAAATCTAGTGAGTAACATGCTCACCATAACGTTTTCTATCACAATCTTCTTAACAGATACCAAACATCTTTTGAGAACACCATGAAGAAGATGTATACTGTTGACTATGGAATTGATTTTAGAAAAGTGACCACAAAAGGTTCCACCCCATCCCACAAGAAATTGCTCTCATAATTTCTATTTCTGCATAACAAAAACCCTACCATACAATGTTTTCACTTGTGAGTAAAACATTTAATGGAAAAGGCCTAACAATTAAGCGACCACCTCCAGCACCCCAGGGTCCACAGATACCCACAGAGTGAGGAATCAAGAGGGCAAAATTTAAAGTGGAACTCCCACTCCAGTACTGACACTGCTATTGCTTGAGCCTACGAATGGATTCCTTGTTAAATTTTTCACTCTGAATACTTCACTTGCTTCACTGTAGTCATCTCACTGTTTAATCTTTCCTTTAGCCTTTTGAATCGTATGTAGTGTAGTTTTATGGAGAAGGAAATGACAAGTGACTCCATTATTGTTGCCTGGAAAATCCCATGGATGGAGGAGCCTGGTGGGCTACAGCCCATGGGGTTACAAGAGTCAGACATGATTCAGAGACTAAACAATGTGTAGTTATAAACTCTTTTTAATATTCTTAACTGTTAATTTTACTGCTTGTATCTATTCTTGTTTGTCTTCAATACATTACTTTCACCCTTACTTTGAGTATAATTTTGCTGTTTTTTTACAGGATTGGTAATTTTTGATTGAATGCCAAGCACTTTGGATTTTACTTTGGTGGATAGTGGATTTTTCTATCCCTATGCCTAATACTGAAATTTGTTCTGAGGTACAGCTGAGCTACTGGAAAAAAAAAATTTTTGATACATGCATATATTGCTTTAAGATTACTTAGGTGGAACTAAATTAATAATTGGGTGACAGAACAAACTTTAGTTAATATTGCATTCAGTGAAGAATTAATGAATGCTTTCCAATTAAGACAGAGATAAATGGAATAGTATCTATTGGCACAACTTTTATTCAATGTTGTATAGGGTTTCCTGTCTAATGCAAAAAGAAAAAAAAATAATAAAATAAAGAAATAACATTAGAAAATGATGAAGTAAAATTATTTGTTTATACCTGTAATGATTGTGTACTTAAAAATCAAGAGGAGTCTATAAAATAATTTACATGTAGTAGATGAAATTAATATACCAATAGTACTTTATTTCTAATACTAGCAGTGAATCATTAGAAAACAAAATTCCAGAATTTATAACATTAATTGTAAAGTTGACTCTTTAGCATCATTAAAGAGTTTCAAAGTGTATCAGTGTGATAGTCTTTACCACAACTGCCTTTTTTCTTAGATACTATAAGATATATTTGATGATAGATTTATTAATTTTGTCTGTCCAAATCATTAATTTTATTTTATTGGTCTTATATATGTAGTCAAATAAGATTTGAGGGTTTCTCAGTTGGCACTGGCAGTAAAGAATATGACTACCAACACAGGAGACATAATAGATGTAGGTTCGATCCCTGGGTCAGAAAGATCCCCTGGAGGAGGGCATGGCGACCCACTACAGCATTCTTGCTGGAGAATCCCATGGATGGAGGAGTCTGGCAGATTTCGGTACATAGGGTTGCAAAGAGTCAGGCACAAGTAAGCAACTAGCATTAACTTACTTACAACATGTGTATAAGACACATATGTACATGCATACACACACACACACACAGTTACATATACTTATCTTCAATATTGTCTTTTTTTTCCAATACTGTGTAGAATTACTCTGTGTATGCAGTCTCTTCCCACATACGATAAAATATTTTGCTTGCTTTTATTCCTCAACCAGCTTCTTTTCCTTTGCAATAAACTCTTCTCATAATTTTCTAGAATACTGTTTCTTAACTTTTACATTTTGACAAATATTTTAAAAATATGACACCACAATCATAAACTTAAAAATATAGGACTTCATAAAAATTAAAAAAGGACTTTTGCTCCTCAAAAGATATGCTATTAAAACCCAAAGGCAAGTCAAAGAGGGAGAATATATCTGTGTAAATATCTTGAAGTTGGTGGTCCAAATGTGAAAGTAAACATTCTTATCATTTCTCCTTTTATGCATTTTGATATCAGTTAGTAATACTATTCTAAAGGCAGAGATTACAAAATGTTGCTATTCACAAAAGCAGTCAGAAATCTAAAAATAAGGGACAAATATAAAGACTCAATGAAAAGCCAGTTTTACTCATAAAGTAACTCTAGTGTATTAATTTGTTTCAAATTCCAGTTAGCTTACAAAAGCAAAATTACTTTTCCTATTTATTGTGCTGATTAACAAACTGCTATATCACAGAAGTAAATATTGTCAAAACACTTATAAAAGTCACTTTTGGAATACAGGCTTTTTTTGAGGTTTTTTCTTTTTTTTTTTTAATGCTATCCAAGCAATCCTGGATTTTATATTCAATATACTTTTCTCTCTCTCTCTCTCTCTCACACACACACACACACACACACACAGCTATTTACACTGTAGAATTTTAAACTGACCTACAGACAACCTAGTCATGACTGTGATAGCCACTGTGTCCAGTGATTCATGTGGCATCTTCCCTGACTTTAGGTAACTCACATTCTAGGGAAAGAAACAGTAAATTTCAGGGTTGCTGCTTTTCTCTATTAGTGTGTGTATGTGTATATTCATTTTCTTGGACCATCTAGACAAACTACAATAGATCCACATTATTTGGCGATTTCTTACTTGCAAATCTACCTACTGCCTCAAGTTTATTTGTAAACCCCAAATCAATATTTGCAGTGCTTTCATTGACAAGGCAGACATGCACAGAAAAACAAAATAATTGAGCCACCCACCATGTACATTCCCAGCTGAAAGTGAGCAAGGAGATGCTCTGTTTTCCTGTTTTAGCTCTTCCTAGATAACCAGAGGAGGGAGGAGGGAGGTGACATCTCTGTGTAGTACAAGAAGATCTGCTTGAAACCAGCTGGATAGGATAGGAATGCAAACCTTGGTTCTTGTCAGTGGTGTGAGTGAAGTCACTCAGCCATGTCTGACTCTTTGCAACTCCGTGGACGGTAGCCTACCGGGCTCCTCCCTCTATGGGATTCTCCAGGCAAGAATACTGGAGTGGGTTGTCATTTCCTTCTCCAGGGGATCTTCCCTATCCAGGGATCGAACCTGGGCCTCCCACATTGCAGGCAGACGCTTTAAACCTCTGAGCCACCAGGGAAGCCCTATCTCAGTGAAATTACTTAGCGCTTCTGAAATTCATTTTTATCTTTTGTAAAATAAGGAAATTAGAATCTAACAGGATGAGTTCTTTTTAGTATTTGTAATCTATAATCTGTTACTACTATATGCAAATAATAAATTTTATCAATTTCAACTTATCTATCTACCTATCTCTCTCTACCAACAGTAAATTTCAGTGTTTATAGAAATTTTATAGAACATGCTATTGTGAATATTAAGACTCAACTATATATGTATTATTGGGTCTTTAAAATATAGTCTCCAAAAAATATTTTAGAATATACATAAAAAAGGGAAAAAAATAAATGCAAAATTATTTAATTACCTTCTAGTAGTCTATTAAAGACATTTAATAAGTCTAAGTATTATTAGTAAAATAGAATGATTTTGATTTATTTCTGAGGCTTAAGTTTCAAGTGACAATTTGAACAATAATATGAATAGAAAGGAAAAAAGCAAACAGAACTCTTCTTTATATTACTTTAGATCTTATTTTTCAGCTTCTATTTCTAGATACATTAGAGGAAAGAGTCCATCTCTGTTTATCTTCAAAGTTAATGGCTATTACTTGACAGTTTTAACAGATTCACTTAGAAGAACAAGAGGAGATTGCTCTGTGACAGTATCAGCAGGAGTTCTCACTCTCAGCTCAAGCAATCTATAAGCCCAGCATGAGAGATCATGATAAAATCAGTTTGAAACTCACACAATGGGTGAAATAGGTAGGAAGTGTGCATTTTTCATGAATTGTGAGGGGAGAAGTGGCACAGCAGTTAATCACAGCATGAAAACTTCAAAATGACTTGCTGATGAGTTTCAAAAAAAAGGCCCTAGTAAATCATTGAGGAATATAGAAAAACTATTTGCTAAGCATAATTTAGCATGTTTTCTATAAAGAGCATTTATAAAGCATTATGCCTGTTCACTGCCACTCTTAAGAAAGGTCCAGAACCTACTTATTTGCTGCATATTTTATTTAGTCGGTAGGAAATTTGTTAAAAAATCTCGACTGTATATAAAAATTTGAAGAATAAAATGCATCCTCTTAAAGCCCTTTTACTTTTTTACCTAGAGGAAAACATCTAACTTTTTGAATCTATAATATCATGCATTGAAGTTGGGATAACATTTGGTCCTTTGAATACTTGAATCTGTGCTCCAATCTCGACTCCTCTTGCCTCTCCCAAACTCCCTATTTACCCACACTCATTTCCAATGTTTTATATCCATTCGTTTTATTTATTCAACTCATTATTTTCACTTGCTTAATATATGTAATCAACAATTAGGAAAGATAGTCTGACATGCACAATATTATTCCTCAAATTCTTTACATGAGAAAATAAAAACAAAAGAGCCATTTGTAAATCAAAAGCAGTTTGGAAAATATAACCACATAGAAATTAGCCACTCAGTCTTTACATTGAAAGATTGGGCCCAATAATTTTATTGTTATTGTCATCTATACTTTTCCACAATATAATTTGCAAGAATTTAAAATGCTTACATAGCAAAGAATTTATTTAACTCATTAATTTATTAGAGAACAGATTAGGTAATTCCACGATCACTTGAGGCACCAAAAATGTATGGAAATTATTACAAACATTTATTAGACTAAGAGGCGAGCTTAGATAAGAAACAAATAAACTGTAGAAAATTATAAAGCCTATGGGTTATCTTTTAACTGAACAAAATTCATTTTAAGTCATTCCAAATCTGCTGCTAAGTCATTTCAGTCATGTCCGACTCTGTGCGACCCCATAGACAGCAGCCCACCAGGCTCCCCCATCCCTGGGATTCTCCAGGCAAGAATACTGGAGTGGGTTGCCATTTCCTTCTCCAATTCCATATCTAGACATTAATATATAACTAAATGAGTCTGAAGCCACAGTAAATTAAAAAATCAAAATTAAACAAAAATGTCTCCTAGAAACTTAAATAAATGATCCCATTAGGATTAATAATCAAGGCTTCAGTAGCATATTGGAAGACATGCTGCTATCCTCTGGTCTTATTTAAAATGTTACATAATTTTTATTAGGAGTTATTACTTATCTTTTAATACTAATTATAAAGTTAAATGGAATATTGCCTAACTCATGCACATATATTTAAGAAATATTTACAAGGTTTAAAGTACTTATGTTCCCTTTATTTATTTTTTATTTACTACATATTCTATTTGCTAAATTATCCAATCAAAAGATGTAAATTGGCTGGAAGGATGAGAAATAAAGATCCATCTACATTCTACCTGTAAGAGAGTTACTTTAGATGTAAGGATCCACACAGACTGAAAATAAAGGGATGGAAATATGTGTTGCATACAAATGTAAACCAAATGGAAATTGGCTTACTTTTCTTTCAGTAAATTGGTCTCCTTACTTTCAATCCAAGTGGATTAAATAGCACACTACAGAACAATCAATAAGTGAAAAAAAAAAAAAAAAAAAAAGATTTAAAAAGAGAAGCAAAAAGCACCTTGAAACAAAGGCAATGGAAATATAATATACCTAAGTTTGTGGAATGAGCTAAAGGAATTCTAAGACTGACATTCACAGAAAAAAATGCCTATCTCAAGAAGCAAGAAAAGTCTGAAATAAACAACTTAACTTTCCACCACACAGAATTAAGAAAGAAATAAAGGTTTGTAAAAGACCGATTTAAATAATTATGTGCCAACAAACTGAACATCCTAAAAGAATGGAAAATTCCTAGAAACATACTATCTACCAAGACTGAATCATTATACAACAGAAAATCTGAACAAAGTCATTACTAATCAATAATAAGAAAGCTCCCAAAAAGCAAAGGTCCAGGACCAGTTGCCTTCATTGATGAAGTCTACCAAGCAGTCAAAAAAAGAACTAATACCACTCTTTCTCAAACTGTTTCCAAAGATGGAAGAGGACAGAACTCTTCTGAATGAATCTAGGAGGTCAACAATACCACCATAACAAAAGACAAGGATGCCACAAGAAAATTATAGGCCATCATTCCTGTTGTACACAGATGCAAACATTCTAACACTTCAACAAAGTGAGTATAGATGGAACATAATAAAAGCCTCAACATAATATAGGCCATATATGACAAGCTCTCCCTTAACATCAAACATAATGGTGAAAAATTAAGACTTCTCTATGAAATTGAGAATAAAACTTTTACCACTTCCATTCAACAGAGTATTAGAAGTCCTAGTCAGAGCAATTAGGCAAGAAAAAGAAATAAATGACATCTAAATTGGAAAGGAAGACATAACCTGTTACTACTTGCAGATATGATTTTGTGCAGAGAAAACCTTAAAGTCTCTATTAAAAGAAAAACAGAAAGTTAGAACTAGTGAATAAAATAAGTAAAATATAACTTCATAATTAAATTTTTGAGATGAAATACTAAGGCCATTATGGTAAGTGAAATAAACCAGATTGAGAAAGACAAATATCATATGATTTTTCTTACAAAAGGAATTTTTAAAAATTTTTTGCATATTTCAAAATTAAATGGTAGCTTGTGAAGTATTACTGAAATGAAGTGATTTTTTTTATAAGAAATTTGAACCATACATGAAAATTTGGATGAATATTTTGAACATTAAATGTAATGAAAAATTATAACTCATAATTTTCAAATATGTTTCTTTTATATATGCTAACTTGTCTATGTGTTCAGTGAATGAACTAATAAATATTTATTGGATATGATATTGAGTTTCTGAGATATAGTGTAATTTTAAAAAGAGATCAACATAATATTATTTTGTTTGAATTGTGTCCAGTGGTAAAATTAGTAATGGATTACTGATATATTTTTCATGTATACAGGGTAATATATTGTTATGAATGGAGTATGGAACATACCAAAAAGTTGGAGACATAAATTCAAGTACCTCTCATCAGCTGAGGCTTGTTATGGAAATGTTTGGAAAAGTTACTCAGATTCTCTAGACTATATATATATATATATATATATATATATATATATATATATAAATTTTCTTATCAGTAAAATAAAGGAGTTGGATAAAAGGATATTTAATTCTTCCAGAACTAACATTGTAAGAATTCCATAACTATTGCTGAAATTGTAGATGCATGGCTCATTTGCTTAGAACTTATTCAGACAAAGGAAGCAGTATCATTTTATTAAACTTGATGAAGCATCAATGATCAGCATCAGCTTCAAACCACCCACAGATATTATAATTGCCTTGGCAGTCTTAGCCAATTAATATAACATTTTTACAAAACTAAGTATTTAAACTGTACTTCATGCACAGGACAAAAAAATCACAACACATTTTAGTTTTAACAATTACCAAAGGAAATTTTACAACCGACTATAGAAATAAAAGTAACTTAATTAACAGAGCTCTCATTCTCCCTCGTTTCAGTCAGGCGATTATGTGCAAGTCATATCTGCTAAGGGCAATCTGTTCCTTCAAATATAAAACAAAGTAAATTCTAAGTTCAATCCATATATATGGAGAAATTAAGGGGTTTAGCCAAATATCTCTACATAGTCTTCCTATGAGGATGTGAGTGAGTATAGTGTACTTAGTCCCAGATTTCTGCAGCTACTAAATTTGAGTTATTGCTAATGTTTCAGTTCTTTGAGCTATTACATCCTTTCCATCCTCCATTCACAGTTGTCAGTATTTTAGGTAACAGAACAGAATACATTACAGTACAAATACACTGCACTAAGTTACAAATAAAAATTAAAATATATTATCTTTTCCTCTTTTAATTATTTGGCTATGGTCCCCAAGGGGTCATTTTTAATCTGCTATGAGATTCTTTTGTCCAGCTCTTATATTCTCATTTAACATTTTGTCCTGCTAGCTCACTTGCACATCCCCTGTTCATTTTTGATGTTCACTGAGAAGATTTTGCAAATAACAAATGTCAAAGAAATCACCTATTGAACAAAGATAACTTCTCCACTGGAAATACAGTGACCAGATTTTAGACT